AGGAAGAGGGATCCACTGTGGACCAAATCACCCACCCTGAGAAACACCACTTGGGGCAGGAGGAGGGGGCCGGGGGTGCTATTCCCATGGAGAGCACAGGGCTCTTTTTCGGTTAGACAAGATGAAACCACAGGGATATAAATGTCGCTGCCTCTTTGAGAACATTAATGAAAATAAACCCATTTAATAGTTTGCAGATGCCGTTTCTGTAAACCTAAAAAAAGCAGGGAATAAATATTTCTTCACTAAATATCTATATGTATATATATATTTGAAAACATTTGCTCCTAATCTTAGGGCCCCTCCTTTGCTGTGCTTTTGGCAGCTTATCACAGCTTGTCAGTCAATACTGAACTCACCAAGAAGAGATACAAATTGCACCCAYGGAGGGGTAGCAGGACCGAGGGATTATTGTAATCTAAACTCTCTCTTGCCCTTTCTATTTGTACATTTCAATTACTTGTAACAAGATCCACGGTGGATTTTTTTTTTCTTCTGCATGTCTGTGTTTTGGAAATTTTTGTAAGGTTTTTGTAAAAACAACTCTTGTGAAATAATGGAGGAATAAATATTTTACTGAGTAGAGACGTGTCAGTGCATGTGATAGGGACCTGACTCTTCCATCACCAGCCACTGTGGTTTCCCCACCTGCCCTAGACAAGCAGCCTGGGCAGAAATTGAGCTAAGGCAGCAAGAAGGGTCAGATTCTGCACAGATAATGAGTTAAAAGAAACCAAAGGGTAGGAATAAACCGTCAGATTGCGGAGTGTGTCCCTGGGAGCAAAGGCCCACAGGTGCAGAGCAGGCACTGAGCACCCAAAACGGGGAATTGGTGGTCAGGCAAAGGAGACACCAAATAATTTGGGCAGCCAAAGTTAAATGGAGCTCCAGAAACTTATGATGCTGAGCTATCAAGCAGCAGATTTAATGCAATGCTGAGAGGTGTGAAGGTGTGCCCAGGGAAAACTGCCCAGTGCACATGCAAACYGAAAGGCAGCAGGTCAAGGGTCAGGAATTGTTGGGAAAGGGTTAGAGAGCAAGGCAGAAAGTGTCCTGACAGCACAAATAAAGCCTGAAATCCATCACCCCAAGATACTGCAGAGACCAAAGGTAAAGTGTTTTCAGAGAGGGTGAGAAAGTTAATGGGGTGGGTGTGTGTTTGGTGCAGTGTGGCAGGGATTGAACCRCCTGTGCAGGAAACTGCTGCCCTGCCGACTTCCAGGAGCAGGGAGGGCTGGAAGGAGAAGGAACAGCTCAGTTTCCCTTGTTTCTTTTACTTGCCTTCACCTGCTGAATTGCAGCAGCCTCCTGTCAGGCCARCTCACATGGTGTCACTTAGAATGTGCCTCTGTCACCTCCTCCTCRTCCTCCCCAGGCCATCCCCAATCCCCCCAYACARCCAGGGGGAGCACAWTGCTATCCCACCCACCCAGAGGGGYTCAGCTCTGTGAGAGGAGGATCAGYTCCCTCCCAGCAGCAGCCTTTGTCCCTCTCATCACCTTTGGGACACGTGGATCCTGCAGATTGCAGGGTTGAGGAAGAAAGGATCCCTCAGCAACACATTYCAGCTTTCCCCAGAGGGGAACAAGGCTCAGCCCATTTCATCCCTGTAGCTCTCAGCAGGAGCAAGTCCCCATGTTGGACATCACCCCAGGCCCAGCACGGTCCCACACACTTGACCATCCCTGTCAATCTGCTCTGCTGCTGCTTTGTAACCACTTATTTATTCATTCTGTAAGTGGTTTGTAGATCATTAAGGTCATTTGTCAAACCTCCTGCCCAGAGAATATCACCCAAGCAGCATCCTCAAGTCCTCAGCATGTGGCCAGTGCAGAGCAACCTTTTGGAGGGCTTCCAGCCCCGAGTCAAAAGCCCCTTGGAAGTGATGAGCTTACAGATCTCAGGGCARATTCCTCCAGTGACTCATTACTGCTTGAAATATGTCACTTATTTCCTGCCTGAACTGTCCCAGCTTCAGTTCATCTCCCACTAGAGCAGAAGGCCTCAGCCCGTGGTCAGTCAGCTCCCAGGAGCTGRTGGCCATCTGAGGGGTCTGCAGGCTAGAGACAAGCACGGAGAGCTGCAGCTCGCCCGGCAGGGTCTGCACTGCACAAGGGCAGGGAGGTACAAGGGGAAGGCTGGCAATGAAGAGGAGCTCAAAGATGTTGTGCAACCTCTCTTCTTCCAGRACAGGGGTATATTCTGTCCTAGAAAGGGCACATCCATCACCAGAATTCATTTTGCATGGCATGGTCTCCATCCATGCACCACAACTTGAGGAGCAGGGGAAGGTTGCAAAGACATTTGCAAGCTGTTTCCTTCCTCAAAGCAGTTGGTTTTCAGCCAGGTGATTCCAAAAGGGCAGGTCTCAGCTGATGGGAGGATATTCCTAGAGCCCTTTCCTTGTTTCTGACCCCACATGTGCATGACTTGCTGACTGATGAAAAGTTGAAGTTTGCCCCTAGAATATTTTAGTGAGAACAATTTTGTGTTGTCATCAGCACTGGCTGCCCACAGCAGCAAGACAAAACAGAGCTCACATTTTCCAGCTCACAGGGACACCAGCCTGGTTATCCCCATCCAGAATGAATTATAGCCATACCGTGGTTACAGCATCCTCATTTCCCATTATCCTTGTGCTGCTGAGCCCTTCTCCCTCTGGTGGCAACGGGAAGGTCTGGAGACCCTCAGGCTCCTGCTGGCACCATCTGAGAACTGCAGAAACACATGTTCCTATGACAGCAATGTGTCACTCCCAGCCCCTCCTGCACTTTGGGGCGATGCTCCCGTCCTGRGGGGTGTGATGCTCACCCCAAAATCTGCACTCCATATGGGAGGAGCATCTCCTCCCTGCAGCAGATTTTTGCTCACTGCTGCTTCTTTCCAGCCCCACAGGGAAGCAAGCTAAGGCAGCATAGAAGCTGGATGGTAGCTGTCCAGAGGGTGTGTAATGCTTTATAATTACTTGGGAAGAAGGGAAGACGTAAAGGTTCCTTTTGTAGCTGGTGTCACAAAACCTCAGAAGAGTTACCACGAATAAAGAACAACTATTGCATGAAGATGCACAGCGTTGCATCCATACACAATTTCAGAAGCAGGGGATGATAGCGAGGCCATTTGCAAACTTTTTCCTTCCTCAAACCGGTTTGTTTTCAACCAGGGGACTCCCAAAGAGCAAGTCTGAGGTGACGGAAGGATCTCCCGGAACCTGGCGTCGCATCTGCCTGCTTTGGAGAGGCGACTGGGTACCGGAGCAGGTATCAGCCTCAACCCGTTCCCCAAGGAATGGCACTGTCCCTCCATCCCGAACACATCCAGCCGCACCTCCAGCTCCATGGGCAGCAGGCGGCTGGGGCAATCCAGGCAGGGTCCCCGTGTCCCCCCGCGGGTCCCGCAGCCACACGAGGGTGCTGCAGCCCCGCGCAGCGCAGCGCAGCCCGCGGAACCGGGCGGGCCGGGGGCGAAACCCCAGCGCGCTGCTCTGCTCTGCTCCGCACCCTGCCCGCTGCCCGGAGGCGATGTTTCACAGCTCAGCCCCACAGCCGGGCTGGAAAGAGCCCCCTGGAAAAAAGTTTTCCAGGTGCTAACTTCATTCTCGCGAGCAGGGAAACGCCGCTGTCTTCTCCAGAGGATTTATCTCTGGGATCTCCAGGACTGTAAGGGTGGCTACTCTCATTCTCTCTACAAGTCACAGGAATCGCAATTCCTCAAGAGGAATAAGAGGATTTTGGTTGCAAAATCCCATCTGCGAGATGGGAATGGGAGATTTTGGGAGGGCAGAAAAAGCGGAGTAATCTGTGTTACAGGAAAGCTGGCCAAGGAGGAATCTTGATCCAGATCCCACTAGGGGAAGACCTGGATGAAGAGACTCAGGCAGGTAAGGAAGAGGTGTGTCCAACGCTCAGAGTAGGAGGGATCCTGGGCTTTGAGCTACCTGAAAGAGTGTGGGAGGGGAAGTGGCTTGTGCTGGTCTCCACTTGCTTTCCTCCCAGCTCCAGACACGAGGGAAGACACGTACTGGCCGTGTGAATCACCTTCACACGTTTACCCACAGAAGGGGGCGGAATGAACCTTAAAGATCATCTGCTCCCAACCCATCCTGCCGTGGGCAGCGGTACCTGATGTTAGACTAAAGTTAATTAAGGTCTCATCCAACCTGGCTTTGAACTCTGCCAGGTTTGGGGCATCCACAACTTGCACCACCCTCACAGAGAAAAATTTTTTCCTAATGYCTAACCTAAATTTSTCCTCCTTCAGTTTGTACCCATTTAAGCTCTGACCTCTGTTGTTGTGCAGCCCCGTGTGGGTTTCACAGTGTTGGCATTTCCTGTTTGAGCCAGGCGTGAAAAACAAGTTGTTGGCACATGGAACACACACCCAGCCCCGGAGACTGGTAGATGTAACCACTGTCCCTGCCCTCCTGGAGCAGCAGGAGAGCCCTGGACACACCCTTTGCCCACAGTGATATGGGAGCAGCAATTTGGGAGCTCTGGGCTTGAGGCATTAATTGAGAAGAGGCAGAGGATGCCTCTCACATGCAGCAAACCCCACTGGCAGTGCCCAGGGCAGAGCCAGTGGCTCTGATCACAGCAGTGGTGCTGCCCAAGCAGGCAAACCCAGCTCGGTCCTGCTTCCCCCAAACCTCCACAACACTTCAAAATAAGTGCAATGCTTGGGCCTCTCTCAAGTTTGCCTTGTAGGCCTTTTCTGTTTGTTTTTTTTAAGCCAGGAGAGTTCACATTCCCAAGCTTTTCCCTGCAGCCAGTGAGCAGAGTTTATTTTTTTATTTTTTTTTTTTTAATAAAAAAGAAGAAAGCGGAGCTTTGCATGAAACCTCAACTTTCCTGAGCAGGGCATCAGCCTCAGGCACTGGACAGGCAGCTGGGAAGAGGCTGAAGGAGTTGGCAGCTCTGGGGCCTGGAAGGGGGTTCTGTAGCCTCACTTCTTCCTCCCCATGCCAAAATCTCCATCCCAGCCACATCTCCAACCACAGCAACATGTACTGGAGAGAGTCCATTTTATAAAGCCACTGCCTTTCTCATTTGAAAACAAAAAGCACAGCGGAAAGAAAACAACCAAGTGGAGCCATTTTATCCAACTAACTCAGACACCAACAGGACAGCACCTCCCAAACACCAGCAACTTAAGAAAATAGGAGAAAACCAGAGAAATTACATATTTGTTTCCCAGTAACTTAATGTAAAAAAACTAAAAAGGGATACTTATCTTGGAAAATACAAGCAGCTCCTTTGCAAATCCTAAGAACAGAAAGAAGAGCAACCACRTCTTACCCGGGGAGCTTCTCCAGCTCTCCAGGATTTTTGGGTGAACACCAAGCTTTGTAACAACTTGTTACTCAGGGAAGGAAAACTGAGCAGGGCTGCTTGTAATTCCCAGTTCTGCTGAATTAAAGGGTCAGCACAAATAATGCACACCTAAAAAAAATATTCCTCCGCAGGGCAGGTGAGTGCAGAGGAAAGGGATGTCTCTTTAGAAGTCCCAGGGCACTCCAGGCTCTGCAGTGGGGTTTAACATCCTGCTGAGGATCCATCCTGCTGGGGCTGGACCCAGCTGCTGCCCAGCTGCATCTGCTGCTCCCGAAGGAAGGATGTATCAGAGCACAATGATTTGTTTTTATTGGGAATATTTGCTTCCTGCCACCAGGATGCATGTGCAGCAGCAGAGAAACATACAGGGGTTCAAGACCTTGTACACCATGTGAGGCAGAAAAAGGCTTGTTTAGAGGGGTCTGTGTTACCCAGACATCTGTGTGAAGGAGAAGTGGCCAAGGGTGAGCTGCTGAACCTGCAGTCCTGCCCACCTTCCTCTTCCACCACTGCTCCAAATGTCACCACACAGCTCAGCCTGAGGCCACAAATGCCCTGGGAACAGGAATTACTGGTACAGAAACTTGTACCTGAGCTGGGCAAGGGCTGAGCATCAGTGTGAGCAGGTGTGTCCCCAGTGCTCAGTGAGGTCTCAGCAAGAGCATCTCCTAAGAGAGCAGAGTCGAGGGAGCAGCCTTAGTGCACAGGACAGGTGGAAGGGGAATTTATTTTCTACTCATTCTGGCATGCCCCTGTGATCTTTCTAAAATTCTGTGTCACCCTCAGAGGATGCAGGAGGCACTGAAGAGCAGAGGTTTCCTCCTGCCTTCTCCTCCACAGAGATGCTCAATGGCTGCTGCTGCTGCTGCTGGGGACAGTGGTGTGGCAGAGCAGCTCATGGGGCTTTGTCACCCTGCAATACCCCATCCCAGCCTCTCGTCTCCAACACGATGCTTTTGGCTGACACTGCAGAGCAGCAATACTGACTTCAAAACCCCTATGCTCGTTTCCAGAGCTTTCTGTGAACACCAGCTGGTCCAGCCTCTGAATGGCGTGGCAGCAGTGGACAGCAGGAAACAGCTGAAAGAAAACACCCCCAAAGCGGTCAAGGCACATTCCCCAAATAGCAACGGCCATTCTGCGGCCAGAGAAAGGCTACAAACAGAGGGAGAAACTCAGTCTGCTGCCCTGGGGGCATTTTCAGGCATTAGAGGCATGTGGACATGACTGCCCTTGGGAGAAAGCTCTGTCTGCAACCCCCTGTTTTGTGTGAGCATTTTAGTCTTTCCAGAGGTCCCAGAGCTTTGTGTCCAGCAAATGTGTCCAGGATGTGTGTCCAGGCTGTGTGTCCAGGATGTGTGTCCAGGCTGTGTGTCCAGGCTCTGTGTCCAGGCTCTGTGTCCAGGCTGTGTGTCCAGACTCTGTGTCCAGGGTAAATGATTCCTGCTGGCTGCTCTAGCCACGTTGCTCTGTGTCTTGCTGTGGTGAGGCTGAGATGGAAAAGCCACGGTGGCTGGCAGGATCCTGCCTGCAGTGAGGCTCCTGGCAGGGAGTGTGTCCCTTGCAGTGAGATGAGGTGGCACTGGGAATACTGAACGCTTCAATGGCTTCACATCGCTGCTTTGAATTCCCTGGAAGGCACCTGCCTCCTGTCCTCTTTGAGGGAGAGGGAATCACATCCCCACAGATGCATATGGCTGGGCAGGAGAAGGGTGGCTGCTTTATAACCCCTGCTGCCAACCACACCTGCTAAGAGACTTCATGGGACCCTCATGATTTCCCCTTCCTGATTCATGGGGTATTCGTGACCAAGAGGAAAAGGCACAACTTTCCCTTCCCAGTTCAAAACACAGAAAAACTTTCTTTCAATGACCCCTTCCTGGAGGGGTAGTCTGTGTGCTTTCCACCTCTCCCCCTCAGCAGGAGAGAGGGAAACTTCCCTCCACATCCCCTTCCTGCATGTCCCTCCTCTCTGGTGACTTCCCTAACGAATTCTGAAGGCACAGGAATTTTGTCACGGCTGCACTGAGCATCCTTGGGGTGCAGATGGCCTCCCTGGTGACATCAGACATGCACACACACACACACACAGACACAGACACACTCCCACTCGCAGGGTGACCAGCAGTTCCAGGTTGAAGGGGTTCAGGTGCTCAGTCTCTCCAGGTGTTACCAGTACGGGGTGGTGGCCAGGAGGATCTGCAGGGCCATGGAGAAGCAGGGCAGCTGGGCCACGCTGTAGGCCACAGAGCGTGTGGGTGCCCTCAGCCGCAGGAGGTAGGCGATGGTGTGGATGATCCGTCCCACGCAGAAGATGAGGAAGTGGATCCTGGCCACTGCAGGACTGGGATCCAGCAGGGAGTAGATGGCTCCGAGGAAGAGGAAGGGAAAGATGTTCTCCATGTCGTTGCGGTGGGCCCTGAAAAGCGAGATAAGGTTGTTCCTTCCCACTTGGAATTCCCTGTTTTCCCTTCTAGCCAGAGTGCCCATTCCTAGGTGCTGCTGGGCCTCTCCTCCCAGATGGGGCAGACACAGCCCCCAAAAAGCATCAGTTCTCCCTTGCACACAGAGGCAGGAGGATTTCGCACCCCTTGTCTCTCCCTTGGGACGCTGAGCTCCTGAAACTTTCTCTCCGTGACTGGGACGCCTTTGCCACGACAGATGACAGCTCAAGGGCTGGAGCTTTCAAACAAACAGAGCAAAACAAAGACCCCGTGAAGCTGCGAAAAGCTTGAAGCTGGTGTGGTGCCAGCACAGCCTGGTCCCAGATGTGGCCACACTACACAGCAAAAGGCAGTTCCAGACCACAGCTTCTCCASAGGAGAAACTCACAGGATGGGAGARTTGGGGGYTTCACCTCTCTCCATAAATRCATCCAGAGGGGTCGAGGAGGAGCRCCCCAACACCCCCACAGTGAGCCAGCAGCACCTGGGTAACTGCCCTGCAATGTGTCTGGAGGGCCACTGTGGCCATATGATGGGGCCAAGCCCTGTGCTCCAGCTGAACATGCACCTGTCAGGGTGTCACAGCATCACTGCCACCCCCCACAGCGGTACCGAAACAGGATCTGGCTGTGCCATGGGTGTGGGTTGTGTCCCTCCTCCCCCAGGGACCATCCTCTGAACAAACCTTGGGGACTCGAGGGTTCAGCAGGGCTGAAAGGACACACGGAAGAACAGGGAGGAGGGAGGAGAGAGCCAAGAAGCGTCCAGGGGCCTCTTTGGCAGGGGAGAACCTCCCGCCCAGCTCTGTCCCCACCCTGTGCAGACCCCTGGCTCTGCTCCATTCCTGATACAGTCTGAGGTGAAAAGCTGACATTGCCCTTGCTCTTGGGTTTAATCTGTCTTTCACTGGGCTGCAAACAGTTCAGCAAGGACTGACTCTGGGAGCTTTAGCTTCCCAAGTCAGATCCCAGGCTGCACCAGGTCTTTGCTGCAGCTCCAGTTATTTATTTTTATGGAAGTGTGTTTATTCTGAATAATCAAAAGAGGATTATGATTATTATTTCTGCTATTATTTTCTTTTCTGCTAGGAAGGAAATGGCTCATTTGCCATCCTCCTCCCTCTGGCAGCCCTGCAATTAGGTGGCAATGGATGTTTTCTAAAGCAAATGCTGGAGGCAGTGGGACGTGAGCAATGAAGTCCCCAACTGCAGCCCAGGGGTCAAGGACAGCAGGGCAATCCTGTTCAGTCTCTTCCTAAATCTCCCAAAAGGGCAGCCACATACAGCACTGGGACCAGTCACACAGTTCCCTGTCCAAGCTGTGCAGGGATTTGGGGGGATCGGGGGTCCTGTTGGAGCAGGACACAAGGAACCTTTGAGTGTGGGTACAGGATGAGACTTTGAGTGGCCAGAAAAGATTTAGTCAGAGCTGGCAGTTGAACCCAAACACAGATCCTTCTGTGGTCCTTGCTCCAGTGCACACCATGCTCTCATTAAAGATTAAACTGCTCCAGTGTGCAGGGTCCCACAGCAGAGCTCGAGGCAGTCTAACCATTTAGAATATGACTTGATTAATGAGTCCTTTAGCTTCCCACTGCTTCTTTGCCAAAAGCTGGCGCAGAGGGAATCCTAGCACCAGGAATGCTGGCATCAGAGGGAATCCTGGCACCAGGAATGCTGGCATCAGAGGGAATCCTGGCACCAGGAATGCTGGCACGGCTCACCTGCGGCACCGCTCCACGTCAGGGTCCTGGCGGCAGAACTGCAAGCCCCCGTTGCGCAGGGCATCCTCTGGGTTTGCAAACGCCTGCAAGAGAGAGGCCCCACCTGCTTACAGTCTTCAAGAACCTCACAGGTAGAAGCTTTGCCCTTTATTTTTAAGTCCTGCGGGGATCTTTTCCTGCCCCAGTTTGTCACTGCTCTTCATAAACACGAGGGCTGCTGGCTGCCATGGGCACGGTCTTGAGGCTTAAACCCTGCACCACCCCAGGGGTTTCCTTGTCCTCCAAAAAAACCAACATTGCCTGCTGAGCAGGTCCCAAATTAAGGGTTTCAAGGGAGCTCCCACCTCACCCCAGACCACTTCTTCCCAAGAAACCCATTTAAAGGAGACTGTCAGCCAGCAGAAGTGAGATCACTGCTGGCACAGAGCTTGCAGACACGACGCAGCATTGCAAAGATAACCAGGACTGACAGGTTAGAGAATACTCCTTGGCTGGCTTTTTGGCAGTGGTGCTGTGTGACTTTCCTGTGGGGAAATAGGATCCTACGCTAATGAAGTTACAAACGAAAATGATTTATGCAAGCTCCCCACCTATGCTCAGAAGCTGTTCCTCAGGGACCTGGTTACATTTGACAGCTTCATTTTGCAGCCTGGAGAGGGCCCTGGTGCTTTCTTTAATCATGTTACAAGCCCAGACGGTCCCAGGCTGGAGCATCATTTAGAATCACAAGGGGAGAACACAAATCATCAATGATGCCACAGCACAGGACATTTGTATTCTACCTGGGTGCAGAAATGTCTCCCTGTCTCTCCACTGGCACAGTCAGGAACTCCTCAAATACTTTAAAATAGATTTTACAGACACCTGGGTTTCACCAGAAGTTGGGGTGAGGGTGATAAAAGTCCAGCGAGCCCCAATTCCTGATGGCAGCTGGTTTTCTCTGTATTTTCCCCCTAACCAAGAACCTTTTCCTCCAGCTATTGTTTTACTCCTCAAGACTTGCTGCTCTCCTGAAGCATTCCCATAGTCAGTCAGCTTCCAAAAGTTCAAAAGCTTTCTGCTACATTGCAAGAAAAAACCCCATTGCAATGATTTCTTTTTAAACCTTTTTTTTTTCCTTCTCCTTTTCTTCCAGACACTACAAATAACTGTAAACAGACTCTTTCTAGAAGCATCTCACCTGCTTGGCATTTTAGATCTGATTATTATTTAGATTAGGTTTCCAAAATTATAAACATTAAGCTACAGATGGTAGAAACAAACAAAAAGGGTCAAAGAGAAGTGAGATATTTATCTGCTGCAGCTATGAAACAAGTTTTGCTTTCAACTTAAGTCAAAGAAAACTCAGCCTGCTTCAGAATTTTTTGAACTCTAAAGGAATAAAAAGAAAGAAAGAAAAACTACAGAAACCCAAGCAAAGAGCCAGAAAGGGAGGAGAAAGAAAACAAAACAGGATCTTACCTTCTTTCTGAGTCTCACTTGCCCTGTAATGATGGCAACGACGTACATTTTTAAAATCAAAATTGTGCTGTAGAACGTAAATGACAGGAACACTTTATTTTCCATCATTTTGGGAGAATGCGCTCGGTCGCTTCAGCACTCAGAGCCAGCGGAGATCTTGTGCTGTGTGCGGAGAGAAGCAGGAACAGCCGCGTTTAAACACCACACCAATCCCCTCATTTTCCATTGAAAGCCCCCAGCCCGCCACGCTGCTGGGACAGTGAGGAAACCCGAGCCAGCACATGAACAGGATTCCCCTGCTCCTCAGGGTGAGAGCCCCGAGCCAGGACACAGCGCTTTTTCGGGGGGTCCCTGGCCACATCCCGACCTCCGCCCTGTCCAAACCAGCGCACCCCGCTCCCCGTCCCACCGCCCCGAGGGACGGAGCCGCACGGAGCATCCCTGCCAGCCGGGCAGCGCTCACCCGCGGACCGGAGCTCTTCAGCCGCGGGACTCAGGGAGAAGGTAAGCGCTGCCTCAGCCACATCCAGCCCTGTGCTTGCGCCCACTCCTCCGTGGCCGCGCTTCCAGTCCCGCCCAGCGCTGCCTGAGCACTCCCATGGCAGAGGCAGCCAGCCCTTCTGTACACATCCACCTGCCGAGGGATGGACAGGGGACACGGCTGTCCCCACCACCCGGGAGCCTGGGCTGTGCCTGCACCCCCAGGTGACCAGGCTGGAACCCAACCAGACTGCAAAGCCTTCAACCTGCAAGGAGAAGTGAAGAGCCGCTCGCCTGCCCCCAAGGAAGCTCGTCCTGGTTTTCTCCGAGAGGATGAACCAGGGCAGCCAGGTGTAATTTTGTCCTTGTTTAGAAAGTGCCATGTGAATTTGGAACATTGTGGAATAAAGAGTGGGATCGGAGCCTCTGCAGGCAGCTGGGCTGCTGTTTAATGTGAATTTAACTCCTTCTCCCCCAGTGCTGGCAACAGCAAACCTCAGTGAGCCAGAGGCATGGGGGCTGACAGCAGCTCTCCATGTTTATTAGAGTGGAAGGGCTGGATTTGGTGTTCCTTTCCTTAACACAGGAAAAAAAAAAAAGAAAGAAGGAAAATTCTTAAATACTTATTTCAGGAAATAGACAATTCTTTGCATAT